GCCGCTCCGTCTCTGCCCAGGGCTCTGCCCTGGCTGCTCGATTCGCGTGCCTACTGGCTTCTTGTCCTCTGCGACCGGCTCTGTCGGTCTCCCGTCCTGTCCGTCCGTCTGCGCACCTCCGATCCCTGGTTCGGGTGCGTGTCTAGCAGAGCTGGGCTCTTTCCCTGTCTGTCTCACAGCCCGTCTCACTAGTTGTCTCTCCGCCTCTGCCCCTCTCTCTTACGGGCTGTCACTCAGGGGTTTGGCTATCTAGCGGAGGCTCCCTCCTCCATCTCGCTCCCTCTCTGTTCGCAGCGCATCTTTCCGCATCTCTGTCTCTCCATTCTTGTCTCTGCCTTCCGCTTCTCCCCGCTTCTGCCTCTCCTTGTCTCCGTCCCGTTTCTCTCTCTAGCCCCACATCTCCCTGCATGCTCTCTGTCAGATCTCTGAGTCCCCTCTGTCTGCCGCTTATGTCCTGTCACCCTCCCTGAGCAGCTCGGCCTCTCCCACCCTCAGTCAAGGCCCGTGGTGTCACTTTCTCCTGCTCTCTCCACCTCTAGGTGGGTTCGGGTCCACCTCGGAGGAAGCTTTCTGCCCCTTCCCTAAGGCCCCTATACTTCCCCGAGTCTGTGTCCCCCTCCCGTTGCTGTGGGGACAGCAGGACACAGACCCCATAACTCCCTCCCCAACAGGCGGCCCTCTCCTCTGGGCCCCGCCTGGTGCCAGGGCCCTCCCCAGCCGGGGGCCTGCGCCTGGAAGCGGTAATGGAGGCCCTGCAGAGGCAGCAGGCAGCCCGGCTGGCCCGGGGGGTGGGGCCTCCGGGTCCCCCTCGCCCTCCGCCCCCAAGGCCTCCCTTGCCGGGACTCCTCCAGACCCTGCAGGCCCCTGAGGGGGCCTTGGGTAAGGTTGGGGCTGAGGAAGAGGAGGATGCTGAAGAGGAGGTGGAAGGGGAGGAAACGAGCGCCGAGGATACAACAGAGGAGAGTCGTCCAGGGGCCAGGAGCCCCAGTTCTTCGCCTGCCAGCCAGCTCCCTGAAGCCCATCCCCACGAGTGGACCTATGAGGAACAGTTCAAGCAGGTAGGACGCCCTCCATGTCCTCTCCTTCTTCCTCCTCTCTGGGCAAATGCAGTCAAAAGCTTGGCCATGCTAGGCCCTGATTGCTCTCTGCAGGGCAAAGAGAGAGCCAGAGAGCAAGGCGCTGAGACGCCCTGCAGGAGTCAGGTGGGGGAATAGCGACAGGGAGGGAGAGACACCCAGAGCTGTGTACACATTCAAAGATGGAGGAAGAAGTGCCGGAGACACCCCAAAATACAAGACTGAATGGAGGAGTGGGGCTGGGAGGAAAGATGGGAAGTATCAGTGTCTCCGAGAAGTGTTTTGAGGTTGGAGAGCCTTGGAGCTGAGGCTTCCAGGTCCAAGTGCACATCCAACCACAAGGTCATATTCCTGTGGGGGTGTCCCAGGCTGATGACACCTGTGGAAACAGAATGGAGGTTTCCACTCCCTTGGCAGCCTGGTAACCCACCCTCACCTCTTCCCTGACTCCATCTAATCCCAATTCTTTCCTCTGGTCTGAGACCCTGAGTCCCAGTTCTCATCCTGTAGTGACCTCTGTGTGATGGCAAGATCCTTGGGCAACTGGAGTGTCAAAATATTATTCAGAGGGCTCTTCCTCCTAGGCTTGGTGTTTTTGTTTTCCCTTAAAGATCTCATTCCAAGCTGGCACAATGGGAGCCTTAGGGCATTTCCCAGGTCTGTTCCTTGGCAAGGTGCTAGTCATGGATGTGACTTAGGTGTGCTTTTCTGAAGAGGTCAGTCACAGGGTGTTAGTGTTGGGTATGTTCTGAAAGTGCTAATTTCTGGTTAGGGCTTTGGGACAGCGTTAGTGTCACGGAGATCTGTTAGTCTGGAGATGGGGCTCGGGGTTGCCTCTCCTGAGTTGAGTTCTGCGGTTTTTACTAGTAGCTGTGTGTTACTTGTGCTGCACAGTCCTGCACAGCTCAGGGCTGTTGTCAGGGAGGGCTGCTCTAAAGCTGAGCCTCTAGTGCAGTGGTTCTCAACCTGTGGATCGAGATCCCTTTGGGGGTCGAATGACCCTTTCACAAGGGTCACCCAATTCATAACAGTAGCAAAATGACAGTGATGAAGTAGCAACAAAAAATGTTATGGTTGGAGGTCACCACAACATGAGGAACTGTATGAAAGGGTCACGGCATTAGGAAGGTTGACACCCACTGCTTTAGTGTTTCCTGCTCATGGGTGTTTGTGACTGAGCTTTCTTACTAGGGAGGAGGTGTTACTTGGGGTAACTGACTCCATTACTCCAGGGATTCTTTTCCTGGAGAGGCAGGGTCTAGGGGGGCTGGGAAGGAGGGAGATGACCGTAAGGTCCTTCAAGACCTGCCTTCCAACTCAGAGGGCCTGGGTGGCATAGACCCTTGTGGCCGTTACTACAGTGAGCAGGAGGGCGATTAGACCAGAAGGTGGGGTGAGGGGCACCAGGTTTCAATCCCAAAGCTTCTGGGCACCCACTGGCTGAAAGGTGGGTGCCCCACCACCTGCTGTCCTGGCACCCAGGGATTCCAATGAATGCTTGCATGAATGAAAGCCAGAGAATGTGTGCCTCCAGCACGTGTGTCAGGCTGCTCAGCATGGACCAGGCTCTCCTAGGGTGGGCAAGTCATCCCCAAAGGGCAGGCTCAGCTCCTACCTACTTCTCTTACCCTATGTCCCTCTGTGCATATCAGAAAAATGTGGCCCTACCTACCGCCAGGAAGTGAGAACCCCATGCCAGAAAGTCCAAATTTCAGATCCTAAGCAAGCTTCAGTCAGGTGTCCTTGTTTAAAGTCCCTCTTGAATTGAGGTCCCTGGGGTGGGATTGGGGGTGGGGTCAGCAGAACTGGGGGAGATGACCTTGTTCTTTTCCCAGCTGTATGAACTTGATGCAGACCCCAAGAGGAAGGAATTTCTGGATGACCTGTTTAGCTTCATGCAGAAGAGGGGTGAGTGGGGTGATGGTGGGAGGGGGGAGGGGGATCCTGTGATGGCCTCCATTCACCAAGTTTGAAGAAGGGAGACTCCGTGGTTTGGTCCCTGTGGTGGGCAGGATCTGTCCTTTGGGCCCTCAGTAGCATCTTTAACCTCTGACCCTGCCCCCCTCCTCTGCCCCGGGATTAATTAGAGGTCAGACCACTGACAAGTTAATGAGTGTGGGATCAATGGGAAGGGTGGAGGGGGAACTGGTTGACTTGTGTGTGTGTGTGTGTGGGTGGGTGGGGGGCTATCCAGAACTGAGGCCTCAGAATGCTTGGTCCTCTACAGCAAGCCTTCCCTCCAGCCTTATCTCCATACAATTTCCCCTTGCTTCAGGCATGGGCCATCCCTGAGCTCTTCTACAGCAGGAAAGACTGGGGTTAGACAGAGGGAAGACTTCCCAAAGGAGTGGGATGTGACTGTGAGGGAGAAGGGATTCCTTTCCAGGAATCTCAGAGCTGGAAGAGCAGGAAGAAGAATCCAGGAGGGGAGAGGGGTGGGCGGCAGTCCATCACCCCGGCTTCTCCCCAGATTCATGAGCCCGAAGACTGACTCATTATCTCTCCCTACAAAGCTAATTAACTCACTCCGACTGAGGTCTGATAAGCCGCTAATTAACTGGCTGCACTCCACCCCCACCCCCCACCCTCCCCGTAGCTGCTGATCTAAGCCCCTCAGGCCCCCACCCCAGGCCTATTACCCCTTTCAGGCTTCTTTCTTCCTGGAGGACCCTCAGCGGGGCTCCAAGTCGCCTTGCTCCCCAGGGAGATCTGGTCGCTCTGCTCCCACGGTCTCCTCCCTGTCCTCCGGACTACCCTTCTGCAGGCTCAGGTTCTGAACCATGCCAGCACCCGTCGCCGCCCCCAGGCTTCCCTCTGGTCCCTGCCTCCCTTCAAGCCTGCTGCGGCTTGGGGGGTGGAGGGAAGGTGTCCCAAGGGGCCGATAATTTCCCCCCATTAATCAGGCCGCGGCTAATTGTTCGGGTCCAAAGGCGGCAGAGGGAGGGGACCGGATCGGTAAGGAATTAACTGGGGCCCATCGCTCAGCGCAGACAGGCCCTTTTGTCAGATTGGCGCGCGGGGTGGGCTTCGGAGCTGGCTGAGCTCCTTCCTGAGCCCACCGTGCTCGGGCCACTGTTGGGGGGAGTCGGGCTCTTCAGCACCTTCCTACTACCTAGCCCAGAGGGTGCCAAACGAGGGCCCGTGACCCAAATCCAGACGCCAACACCGGAGTTGGGGGACGCGGGAGCGGGGGGGCGGGAATTCAAGAAAGAAAAAGCGTCCAGTGAAGTTCAAAGTTGCGTGTGGGAAACGAAGCTTTGTTGGACTACGAGCGTAGGCATCCCTCCCAAGACCGGTCCAGACGCGTGTCTGAGTTTCTGAGCGTGCAAAGTCAAGACTCTCAACCGCAAACAGAGGCTGGACTTCGCCCCAGGCTCTGGTGAAAGCCCGAAGGAGCCCGCCCCGTTAGTCCCATGGGGGGCGGGGAGGGGGATGTGTGTCTGATTTGGAATCTGCTGGAGGACAACCGGCGGACGATCATGGCAACGCTGAGTCGCTGTGTCAGAAGCTGGCTGAAACAGTTTGTCCTGGTCCTAGCAGCCTGTCCTTCTAGCCCCAGGGGACTTTGCTTCCAATTCCACCTGTTCCCCCCTCCTCTCCCTCCCTCCACTGGCCTAGCCCTGCCTCCCCAGGCCTCCTGCAAGGGTCCAACTTCTTCAGTCCCCAGAGATGCTGCGCACGGGGGTCTTAGTGTCCCGTTCCTCTGCCCACCCCCACCAGGGACGCCGGTAAACCGCGTGCCCATCATGGCGAAGCAGGTGCTGGACCTGTATGCCTTGTTCCGCCTGGTGACCGCCAAGGGTGGCCTAGTGGAAGTCATCAACCGCAAGGTGTGGCGGGAGGTGACGCGAGGCCTCAGTCTACCCACCACCATCACTTCGGCCGCCTTCACCCTGCGTACCCAGTGAGGCCCGGGGTCAAGCGGGCGTGGAGGGCCCCCCTGGGGCTGTGGGCGGGCTGTGGGGTTCCAGCGGACAGGTCCCGCTTCCTGCCCCACACCCCATCTGCCTCTAGATACATGAAGTACCTGTACCCTTATGAGTGCGAGACGCGAGCGCTCAGCTCGCCCGGGGAGCTCCAGGCCGCCATCGACAGCAACCGGCGCGAGGGCCGTCGCCAAGCTTACACGGCCACGCAGCTCTTCGGCCTGGCTGGGCCGCCTCCTCAGGTGGCTTCCGGCCCCGCCCCGCCCGGGGCCCCGCCCGGCCCCGCCCACAGCTCCGCCCCCGGACTACCTGCGCACGCATGCGCCCAGATAAGCCCGAGCCCGGTAAAGAAAGGTGCGAGGGGAGGCGGCTGCATAGAATCGGAGAGCAATCCCCGAGGTTTAGGGTTCTGAAGGTTGGGGTCATGAAGCGCTGGGAATCTGGAGAGCCATCCCTGTGGTGTAACGAACGGGAAGTCCCTCTAACAAGCGCAGTTCCACTTCATTCATATCTGGGCTCCTATTTGCGTATATTCTGTGCAAATAGGAGAGGAAGGGAGTGGGGGAAAGTGGAATGATTTAAAGGTGGATTTAAAGAAAACCTAAATTTCTCAGCCATTCCCCCCATTGTCTTGCACTGAGCTGGACTTTATGGGCCCCTTGGCTGAGGGCTCCAACGGAGATGGGAGGGGAGATGAAACTCCATGCAGGAGGTTGGATGAGAACCAAATGCAGAGATGGAGTGGGTTGAGGCAGGGGAGCTGAGTGAGGTGTTCTTCCAGAGGAGAGCGGAATCCCCAGCCCTCGCATGGCATTGCCGGTGGGTCTGGCCCTGGGACCCGTGCGCGAGAAGTTGGCACCGGAGGAGCCCCCGGAGAAGAGGGCTGTGCTGATGGGGCCCATGGACCCAACTCGACCTGGCGCACCCCCCAGTTTTCTGCCCCGTGGCAAGGTCCCCTTGAGGGGTGAGAAGGAAACTTATTGCCCAGGGGGCTTCGGGGCGGAAGACAGATGCCATACTCCATAGGCATTGGAGGTGGGGCTTTGTGATTACAGATGTGGGTCTGGACTGGGATGGGGGCTGGCCACAGGGATGGAGGAGGGCCCTTCTAAGTAAGAAGTCTGATTCCCAAAATGTGACCCCTGCCTCCTCTTGAACAGAGGAGCGCCTGGACGGGCCTCTCAGTCTGGCAGGCAGTGGCATCAGCAGTATCAACATGGCTCTAGAGATCAACGGGGTGGTCTACACTGGTAGGGGTGCTGCAGGCTGTCTACACTGGCATGGGGTCCAGGGTATTTACACTGGCATGGGGATTTTAGACTATCTCTACTAGCATGAGGTTCGAAGACATCTAAGTCTGCATGGGTAACAAGGGGTTCAGTAGACTGCTACAGTGGCATGGGCTATAGTGGGTTCTACATGGCATGGGGTCCAAGGCATGACCTCATTGGTATGGGTACCATGGGATGCCTGCCTTGTCATAGGCCCATCCATGTATCATCGTAGATGCCAGTTTGCCCTTTTGAGGGCAATTTATACTGGCATAGGAGTCTCCCACAGACCCAAGGAGCTTGTCCTAACTGGTTTGTGGCAGGGGCATGTGTTCTACCAATCTCACTCTTGTCCCCCTCTTCTGTTTCCATGCTCTGTTTGCCTTCTACCATCTCACCCATCTGCCAGGTGTCCTCTTTGCCCGCCGCCAGCCTCTGCCAGCTTCCCAGGGTCCAACCAACCCTGTGCCCCCACCCCCTGCAGGGTCCTCTCCCAGCGCCTCACCCTGAGAGCTCCCACTCAGATCTAAGAGTCCTGACCCCACTGCTGAGGGGGAGGACAGCCCCCCTATACCTTGCTTCTTCCAGGGCATTCACTCTGGGACCCTGCCCTGGGAGATGACTCCCCCTCCCCCATGCCATGTGGACTTGAAGCCAAAGAGGTTTCTTTCCATGTTACATCTACCTCATAGATTTGGCTCCCTGGCCAAATCCAGCAGCGTCTGCCAAAGAGCTATCCTCAGAGTGACCCCGTTATCTCCTTCACAAGCTCCCTATAGCAATATCCTTGCGAGCGCCCCAAGGGGGCTCCTTTTCAGGAGCCAGGTGAAGGGTGGGGTGAGGGTGCTGTGGAGGAGGTATCCGGGAGGGCCACATCTGGATAATAAAGCTACTGTCCCTCCATTCCTGGGTGTCTTCTCCTTCTTGTTGGTTTGGGGGTTTGGTGGGGAAGGGGGGCGGGAGGTGAATATAATTATGTGACACAACGTACTGCTTCCAGTCAGGGATCCAGGAGGGGAGAGGGAGGCGGAGTGAAGCTCAGGCTCTTGACTCGGGTCTGAGTTCGAATGCTAATTCTAGCAGTAGAGGACTGTGGGTGGGTGGGGGTGTGCTCGGGCAAGTCCGTTAATCCCATCTGCAGAGGACTTCAAAAGACCGTGCTCATTCATGGGACCTCCCACTGACCAACGGGAAAGGATCGATCCTGGAATACTGCGTATTTGTACGGAGAACTTCAGGGGATTGGGTAAACTTCTCTGGTACCTTCGCATTAGGTAAGAAAGGCAAACGTTGTGTAGATTATCTGTCACCGGGAGCCGTTGTCTAGGTAACCAGGCAACTTTTGACTCTCCGCAGTGGCGCCTCTCGGAACACTTCCGGCATTGAAAGCTCCGAGGGTGGTGTCACTTCCCTCTTAGAGGGCGCCCGTGCGCTCGGATTGGTCAGTCTTCCTATTTGGACAGATGTCCCGCCCTCGGACGCGTCCCCGGCTGAAACCCGGTAGTGGGGAGTATGGCGGCTGTGACCGATCTGCAGCGGCTACAGGCGGGTGTGGAGGAGCTGGAGCGCTGGGTGTATGGACCAAGCGGGGCGCGGGGCTCGCGAAAGGTGAGCGATCTATATATCCAGGTGACCCTTTCTCGAACAGAGCAGAGCATCCCACAGGCCCGGCCCTCGAAGTGGATGCCACCGCTCGCCTCGGCCTTTGAAATCAAAGCCAGGGCCTCCCGGAACCGACCCATCCTTCTCCCGGGATCTCTCCCGCTGGGGCAGGAAGGGGAGACTGCAGGTAGTTACCAAGCTCAGGGTGAGCTTTGTACGAAAGGCGACTAAGACTCCGCCCTGCGCCCTCGGCCTATTTGGGACCTGACTGATGTATCTCCAAGAAGAGCGCCGCCCACAGTGGAAGGCGAGCCCCGCATTATTGTTAATGGATTGTGTGTGTGGAGAGGTGCACGGGGCTGGCTCCAGGTGAGGCTAGGTGAGGTCCGAGAGGGCTGAGTAGAAGGTGGAGTCGGATACCTGGAGTTTGGAGGTAGACCAGTTCTTCACCCAAGTGACTGGATTTTGGCAGCCCTAAGGTTCAGGTTCCCACTCATCCCCTTTTTACTTGGAAGGGCTTTTACTGAAGAGCTCCTGCTGCACTGTCAGCCTGTCTGGAGCTAAGTGCACGTGGGCTCATGACGTCCTCTGTTGGCAAGTCTTGTGGAATGAACGAAGCACCACTAGCAGATTGGGCTTCCATTTGAGACCTCATTTCAAGTGTCCTCTCCCTTTGTCACCAGCCCTTTTAGGTTTCCTCCAACCTCGCTGGTTGCTTCTTCCAGACCTGATTTGCCACCCCATAGATTTGACTTTTGAATTTGAACATTTATTACCTCTACCCTGAAGCTCATTCGCTTCCATAATTTTGGTGAATATTGACATATCAATATGTCTCAGCTGTGTATTGCTGGCCCAGATTTATGTTCTGAGAACCACGCGTGGGTATCTAGTTTCCTACCGAACTTTCTCACTCGACTGTCTCAATCCACATGCTGTGAACGGTATGCATCTCTCCTAGCCGGATTCTCTTGGTTCCCTAATACAGGGATTGCAACATCACAGGGATCTTAGCTTAGGCTGTCTGTTCTTTCCCACCCTACTCTTGTATGTTCCATCCTAAATCTGAGGGGAAAGGGACAGGGCTAGGGGTTGGCCAGCCAGCTCCATGACCAGGTAAGCTTGCTCTTGTCATCTTGTCACGGTTTTAGGAACTGGGCAATATAACATCTATGCTGCTGCCCTTAAGCTTGGAAGCCCCAAAGGATACATGATTATTTCTCTACCCTGAAGATTCCCTGGAGATAGGATTCCGTCTCCTTTAAGACAAAAGAAGAGGGCCAACCTACCTTGCTGGGAGCCAGATGGTGGATACAGCTTCTTTACCTCCTCCAGACCTTGATCCATGTGCTTTGTCTTGGACTTACACCCCCGCCCTCTTCCCATCCCCAGGTGGCTGATGGCCTGGTCAAGGTACAGGTGGCTTTGGGGAATATTTCCAGCAAGAGAGAGAGGGTGAAGATTCTGTACAAAAAGAGTAAGTGCCTCTTGGGGGACTGCCTGCTCTCTTATGCCTGTGGTTTCTTGGACCTGGCCCTGAAGCCCAGCAGGACATAGGCTTGTCTTTTGGGAAAGCAGGAATGTGAGGACATGTCCCTGTGCTGACATAGTGATATGGGTGAGCTTTCTTTTTGCCTGGTAAATGAACTCCATGCCCATAACAGTGCTCTAAGCTGTGGGACAGGAACCCTAGGAGGAGGCGGAAGGGCAAGGTCAAAATAAGCTCTTCAAACTCACTGCTGTGGAGTCCACTGACTCCTCTCGGCCCTATAGGGCAGAGTAGAACTGCCTCATTTGGTTTCCGAGGCTGTACATCTTCATGGGAACAGAAAGCCTCATCTTTCTCCCACAGAGCGGCTGGTGGATTCGAACTGCTGACCTTGTGATTAACACCCCAGTGTGTAACTAAGGTCAAGGGGCAGAAATTAGGTACCGAGAGTCCTAATCTTAGGGCAGCCAAGCCTTTCTTGGTCACCTCAGCTCTAACAACCTCTGCTCATTAAGTGGAAATCAGGCGAAGCTCTGGCTTGTCTTGGTGGCACTGAGGGAGAAAGGGACTTTCACCCCTCGGTGAAGATAGGTCAGTGGGTGAGCTGAGGGCCCCAGCATGGTGGTAGCCATGATGCCCCCAGCTGGAGGTGATGGGAGTGGAGAGGACTGGGGGCAGGGCACCGTGTCCACTCTTCACTAATGTCATCATCTGACAGAGCCCCACTGCCCAACCCCATTGGTTCCATTTCCTGTCTTGCTCCTTCTCTAGTTGAAGACCTGATCAAATACCTGGATCCTGAGTACATGGACCGAATTGCCATACCCGATGCTTCTAAGCTGCAGTTCATCTTAGCAGGTAGTGCTGGGCGGTTGGTGTGTGCCAGGCACCTGGGGCTGTGCATGGTAGGCGAGACTGGGTGCAGGAACAGCTTCCTCATCGAGTGCTCTCATGGCTGCAGCCCTGGCAGCTGCTCTGGCTGGAGTGGCCTGCGCAGGTGGGGGTGGGGGGTCCTCTGGCAGGCACCAGGCCTGGTCTAGCTGCGCCATCTGCAGGCCTCAGTGCCAACCACAGGGTGAGCTGCTCCAGTGCTCCAGCAGTGGTCTGCCCCTAGGGCTTCCTCACTTGTCCTGGGACAGAGGCACTTCCCCGGAGGGTGGGAGCAGAGGGAATTGCATTTGGGGGAGAGCACTGCCTGAGTTTCCCTCTTCCTTTCATGGCTCGGGGATGTCAGAGTTCTAGGTCAGAATGGTTACCTCCTGTGTTCCTTCCTTCAATCAAGTGTTCAGTGGTCATTTATGTAGCCAGTGTATCTCACACTACCCTGAATAGCAGGGGGGTAGGGAAGAGGTGGTAAGAAGTTCCTGAGCCCTGGGTGAGTATGGGCAGCTGTCAAAGAGCTCCTGAGCTGTCCCCTCTGCACTGCCTCTTGGGGTGAGTCTTCTTGTCCCTCCCCAGTGCTACTTCCCCAGAGATTGTCCTCCATTTCAGTGACCTAGTCCTCCCATAATAGAAATGATCATGAATGGGAGACTTCAAAGAGCGGAATTGTATCTTCTCACAGATCAAGATGCTAGAAGTCCAAATTCAGGACCTGGCTCCAGGGAGGGCCTTCCGTGTTTGTTTCCGCTTCTTGTGGTAGAAGCAATTGTTGGCATTCCTGGGTGTGTGCCTCCATCTATCTCTACCACCTGTGGGGGTCTCTGTTTCTGTTTTGGTCTTTTTCTAACTCAAGAAGTGATTAGGCTTAGGATCCACTTGGCTTCATTAATGTAACACAGCAAACCCCCTCCCTCCTTATTTCCAGACAGGGTCCCAGACACAGGTAGAGGAATCAGGATTGTAACACATATTTTGGAGGGGACACAGTTCAGTCCATGACATCCTCTCACACCTCAACAGTCCCTTAGTCATTTTCCTGATGCTGGTCTTTCCCCAGCTGCACATGGTTTTCAAGGTGCGGCTTGGCCTGCTTGGGAAGCTCAGTGTCTCCCCGTGCTTGCCGGGTAAAACCCTAAGTCCAGAGCCTGTCCTTTAAGCCCTTGCTCAGCCTCCAGGCCTACTCTTCCAACCAGCTCTGTACCTGTGCTCTCCTTGTGACTGCTCAGAGGAGGGCTTTTTCCCCCCTCTTCAAAACAAGCCCTCTACCAGCCAAGCATTTGAGAAGTTACTGAGAGGAGCCAGGAGGATGGTGCCCTAGTGGGAAACTGCGGCAAAACTGAGAGTCTGACTTTAGATGGGCCAAACTCAAGGTGTTCAGAAGAGAGGAGTGTGCTCCTAGAGAAAGGGGGGCCTCAGGCAGAGTAGCTGACCCAAGCTCTAGGACCCAGTCATCCCCGAGTAGGGCCTCAGCTCGCCTGGGCGAGCCTTCCTTACTGCCTGTCCCTTCTGCTTCTGTTTCAGAGGAGCGGTGGCTCCTCTCCCAGGTGGCGCTACTGCAGCAGGTGGAGGCCTTGGTGCCCATGCTGGACAGCCCTCCCATCAAAGGTACCTGTCTGGGGCTGCAGCTCCACTACTCGGCTGGGGAGGTGGGTGGCTGGGCAGGACGTCCTCCTGTTCTGGGTTCCCTGGGTCCTCATGCCACTTCCATCCGGGTTAGAATCACCAGGGCAGAGCCCAGGGTGAGGACCTCTCACTGTCTGGGTCTGAGGACTGGTGGAAATGCCAGCAACCCCCAGCCCTGGGGGTGTACACTGGCTTCTCGCCCACCCCTTGGCAGCAGCCCCCTCTGTTGTGAATGTGCATTTGGTCCCCCTGCTGCACTGCCACGAGCAGCCCGGGCCTGGGCATTGACAGGCCGACAGTGGCTTTAATTGAATCCAGATACCCATCTTGTCTGTCTCTGGAGGAGGTTTTCCCAGCCACCTGCGGAATACCTGACAGCTTACACTGAGGACCCAGCACAGTGGCCAGGGCTCTTAGAGTAGGATTTGGGGTGGCCAGTTTAGGGACCTGCACCCCACCTCTGCTCACCAGCAGGCTCCCCATGAGGACTGGGGCCAGACCCCTCTCTACTTGGCCCTGCTTCCAGCCCTGGGGTGAGGGTGGGGGGTACAGCTCTGGCCACCCCAAGCTTTGTGTTCTTCCAGAGGCCTGTATCCTCCCTCCTTTCCGGGCTGGGGTGGGGCTGGTGGGGGCTGGTAGCCGCCCCCACCACCCAGTCCTCCCCACCAACTGCAGTGGTCGATGAAGCCTGGCGTTTGTTTAGCTTCTCCACTCAATACTCTAATCCTGACGAAGACCTAATAGACTATTGAGCAGTCCCGGGGGAGGGCGCCAGCAGCTTCGGGCAGCGCGTTGTGTTTTACAGCCGTTCCTGAGCATGCCGCCCGCCTGCAGCACTTGGCCCAGATCCATATCCAGCAGCAGGTATGGGGGGGACCGGGTGGGAAGGGAAGAAAAGGGAAGGTGGTCAGCCACCTAGTCCATACACCCCACTATCTGGGGGAGCAGCCTCAGGCCTCTCTGATGACATCTCCTGAGGAAATGCACATGCTGCTGGTATATCTTTTCTCCTGCCCAGAACTTGGGCTGGGACCTGCCTAGGGTCACATCCAGGCCTCCTGCTAGTAAGGTCACTCTGAGAGGCAGAATTCCTGCTGTGGTGTGTTCTCGTGTCCTCGACCGGGGCTGGAGGTGCTGTTTTTCACGTGGTCCAGGCCCTAGTGTAAAGTGCAAAAAGGGCTCAAAATTAGTGGGGGAGAAGGAGGCCTACTAGGAGCATAGTTTCCTTAAGTGTGACCCACTTCACCTGGCAGCCTTTGGACAGAGATGGCCCAGCCATACCATTCATTGTCAGGGTGCCCATCCTGGAGCCTGCAGGGGGTGCCTGTGATTCTAGGCTAAAGCATCCGCTTTTCTGGGTTTGATGATGAGGTTCCTGAGGAGGTAGGAAGGCTGGGAAGGGTCGGGGCTGTGCCCACCCCTTTCTCTGACACCTCTTGGCCCCGTAGGACCAGTGTGTGGACGTCACCGAGGAGTCCAAGGCCCTCCTGGAGGAATACAACAAGACCGTATCCTTTCCCCCAGCCTGGTCTCTAATGGGGCAGATCCCAAGCTTTGTGTCTTGGTTCCCTCTCGCATCCCTGCTGCCCTTTGGCCACTGGGAAGTTTCTCCATGCCCTCAGACTGCCTTGTTCCCTCCTTGACCAGCAACCAGACAATGCTACTCTCCAAGCAGTTTGTGCAGTGGGATGAGCTGCTTTGCCAACTCGAGGCTGCCAAGCAAGTGAAGCCAGCGGAGGAGTGACCACCGCTTGCTGCCGTCCTGGGGCAGCCAGGACAGCTGGACTCCAGCCTGGGGCCAATCTGCCCTTGTAATAGGGCAGAGGGCGCTTGCTTTTCCTATTTATTGGATTCATAGCCCACCTGAGCCATTCAGGGGTGGAGCACTGAAGTCACAGGTCTGGGACTACTGAGATTTGAGATCTGTAACACTGACTACCTAGCCAGTGCCCTAATTCCAGGGAAAATAAATTATAAGCGATCCTGGAGCCCAGTGCGGACTTACATGATTTATGGCGTGGGGGTGGGGGCAAGTCGACACCTAGTGGTTGAGCAGGGAATTATACACATCTTGGTTTCCCCACGTCCTGGGGGTGGAAATCTCAGCATGAAGGCTCCCCTCAGTAGGAAAGGGACATTCTTGTATGTGTCCGTTTACCCCACTCTCACGGAGCACCCGGGGATGGGTCTACCCAATCCCAGCCCCAGGCAGGCATCAGGGTGGTGATACGGAGTGTCAAGGATAGGGTATTCCCTTCCTTGAACACAGGGTCCCTTTGGGGAACAGAAGGGACCGATGGGAGAGGGGGCCCTTGGGTGTGATATGAAGTCACTTTTGAGACCCGAGAGAGCAGTATGTGCAAAGACAGGAGCCTTTAAGCGTGTCTCCCATCAGGTGCTGTCGGCCTGTAAGGGGAGCCCTGGAAAAGGTGGAGGGATGGAAGGTATGGCTGCAGAGAGGAAGGAGGTGGGCTGCAGCCAGGTGTCTGCTGCCCCCCGGTGGTCGTGGAGTGTCCTGGTCTCCAGCCTCCTCTCCAATTGCCCAGCCCACTACCACACCTAGGCGGTCTCCCGGACCCCTCAGATCCTGCTTGCCAAACTGGCCTGAAACCTGGGGACACCCTGGACGCTCCCTTCCCTCCCTCACCTCGGTCCAGTCACTAACACTGCGCCGAATCCACCTCCTAAACTCTCCCAATTTAACGCTACTTTATTCCCACTGCCACTTATTTCACCAGGCCATTCTTTCGCCTACTATATTCGTACCCAGCGCACCATTCTAGGCTCGGTGGGCACGCCCCTGGGGTCCTAAGGCCAGAAGTCACCAGCGGCCGCGGGCTCTTTCCCTCCACGAAGCCGCCTTTCCCTGCGGCCCGAGCGAGCGTCTCTTCAGCTGGCTCCTGCTGACACCTTGCCTTGGGGGCAAAGCTCAGAACGGGGTAACCAGGCCTCTCCCCC